GAACTATATTATCTTTCTCAATCTTACCTGTAAAGTAGCAACCTTTACCAACAACTGTGTAAAAACCTTAAAGCAAAGCACACTTTGGGTGTCTCCTCATTCAGTTTCGTTTCAGCATGTTGACGCTGATATAGGCTCCTCCCCTTCTCCGTAGTCACTTCCTGGTCAAATTTAACTCTTTCGACTCCATTACCAAGAGAATAGGCATTTATAAAGTTAAAGATACACACACCAGTTTAGCTTACACATATGTTTTTTAATATATCCTACATAATATAATCTTGATATACAAATTTTTGACGAGATGTAAAGACGTAGGCCTAATTCTCAACACTAAAGTAAATGCTAGCAGCTACGTAAGGCTATTTAAGCACAAGGGTGATTTAAACTGAATGCTAACATGAGCATGCTAGCCCGCTCACGATGACATAGCTCACGTGTTGATGTTTGGCAGGTGTAATGTACATCATCTTTAGCGGGTTAGCACGCTGACATTTGCTAATAACCACTAAATATAAAGGCTAATTGGAATGTCATATATTTTTCCAGGTAGGCTATTCGGTCATAAAACAGTCATTAAGAGAGGGTTTAACCTCTGGGGAAGATGAATGTCGTCCATTGTTGTTTAGATATTACTGTCTGGGTCAAAGTGGGGTGGGCCGACCAACAGACAGGCATTGAAACTGTCTGCTCATCAGTTCCTAACCATAAAACTAGTGCCCTCATTTCTCTTAGTCCCTGTGTTGATGTCGTCTCGTTCATTTGAGACTCCCCAGAATTCCTGTTTTTTTTTGTAGTTCTTTGCATGGTTGTGTTTTGAGATAGGAGGTCCTGCCCTGAGCTCTCCCTGTGGCAATTTCCTGCTTCACCTGTAAAAAGGGCTGTTGGCTCATGACCAGGAAATAAGATTATTACCACCTCCCCCTGGTTTCTCGTAATCCAGCAAACTAAAAGCAAAGAGGATGGCCCAGTCTGATAGTACTTTCTAATGATTTCGATTCTCGTAGTCTGTTGAGATTTTGCATTACCGGACTGAATTGTGCTGTAAATATCACAGCCTTCGTCTCCTCATGTCTAACTAGAATTGTGCTCTCTTTTAGGAGGCAAGTCTGTCATGTGGCTTCCTGGTGAGTCTGACCACAAGAGGTCAGACATGACAAACAGGAGCTAAGTGGCTCAAACTTTGGTTTATTGTACTTTTGCAGGTCTGGGAGTTTAAACCTCTGTTGATCTATACAAAACCCCTCATTTAACGATAAAACATATAAAATACAGTTTTAATTCCCTCCGTATTTTTGTCTCATCCATCATATCAGTTAAAAATCTCAAGCAAGACATTTTTTCGTCATTTTATCTATATGTATTTCCCCATTACTTTCACACATTCTAACCAGTTCTCATTTTCTCTGTGCGCACTTTCATCATGGGACAAACACCCAGCTGTCTACCCAACAAGACAGGCACACATCCAAATAAACAGATGCCAAATCTTGGCAAAAGTAATGTGAAATTTAAATGAATAAATGCATAACACTGCAAGCAAGTGTGAAATTCTGAAAGTCTTTCTCTAACTTTTTTTTCTATAAAAATGTTCTATACACATACCTCTTTGATCATTGCTCATACAATCACACATGCATACAAACCAATGCACATCATGTATGCTTAAAGGTCCGGTGTGTAATATTGAGAAGGATCTATTGGCAGAAATGTAATATAATATAATATGATAAAGTTTCTCCTACATGCTTGGAAGACTGAGCTATATTCAAATTGTTGCAATCTGCATCTTCACCACTAGATGCCACTAAATTCTACACACTGCTCCTTGTTTGTATTTGACATGCATGCTCAGTGATGCCCTGCTCGTACTACCCCTACCTGGGAGAAAGCATTAGAGGGCTTAGTGTCTACAAAGAGGCAAACTAAGTACAGCAGAATGAGACTGGACACAGAGACTCTAGGTAGACACAGCAATGAGCTGGCTTTCGGGGAAACCACATTTTTGTTTGTTCTACCATGTGTCACCTATGCAAATATGAAGAAATGGAAGACAGGAACTCGCCAAATTCCTACCCACAGAACGAAGATATCTTGTAGTTTTTTTTATTTGCTGGTTGGAAGATGTTTATTGGGAAAAACTTGACCTGATGGATGACATCCTCTGCTAAGTAATGTTGTTTTGGTAGACTGATTGTCGCCAGTCCAGGTGACCACTGCAGAGTTCCTCCCCCTGCAGCCATCATCTACTCCTAATAGCTGGCGAGCTTATTGAATTACTGAGGTGGAAAAGGAGGCAAATACATAGTGAAGAGTCTGTTTTGGTCAGAGAGGAGGTCTTGCTGTGATGAAGAATTATGTTGATATGGGCCGGGTTAGGGTTGTGATGTAAAAGAAGGACAGGGGCCAGATCTTTCAGTTACTTTATTTAGAATATATCTTTATTTAGAAGATATTATTGGTTTTATTTCATGAAACAGGTTCTAAGTACCACAAGAAAAAGTTATTATTACTTAAGAGTCTTGCATTTCCTTGCCTTTCTTTTTATTTCACAAATCTTTTTCTCATATAAATTAGTCTTAACTTGTGGGTTTTGTGTATAGTTGCATTTCTTGGTGATTAAACGACTCCTGAGTAACAAAAAAAAAAAAAGAGAACAAGTCTAGACAATCAAATCAATGTTGATCTACTCACTGTTTGAATACCAAATTACCATCTCCCCCTTTGGGTAACAGAATTGCTCTGTTCAGTAATTTCATGTCTTCTTTACATAATGAAGAGTGAAGAATGAATCGTTAGTCTTACCAGCCAGACTGGAATTTACAATGAGATGTATCCAAGTCAACAGCAAGGGCTTCTTTTTGTTCATGTATTAATAGACATTCATTGTAATACAAACTGGGCTTGCAAAAAAAAAGCCTACACACCAAGTTTGAGTCTATGTTCACTGTATGTGCTTTTCTCCCTCTTTATCTTTGTTTATTCATCTATACCTCATTGTGAAATTCTTCAGGGGCTGTATGGTTACACTGTAACCAAGGTTATGCTGTTAATGGCAGGGAGCTATTCAGCCTATCTTGTGGTTATGGGTAGCAGCTCCATTTCCTTCTCTGTCACTCCACATTGTGACCCTTTCCACAAGTTCGCACCGCGCTGCCTTCAAGGACGGTCAGAAATATAATAAGATCGTAAAATAAAAGTGAATAAATAATTTAAAAAATCATAATTTTACATTGTCTTGTAATCACATATATTACCTCGTGTATTTAATACATTCATAAATAAAGTCACACACTAGTTTATACATTAATATGAAACTAATAAGTTGTCCTATCTGCAGTTATATTTTTTATGTATCCTCAAAATATAACTCAGCTTCTATATTTTGTATTTTGCTATATATCTGTTTACATGAAGTAAATGTGTCTAACTCATTGTACCTTGCAGTTAATATAAAGTTTTGCTTTTAAAATTGCTGCTCGATTTCGATGTCTTGGTTCTTTATATTGATTTCTCTGCAGTCCTATAACGCTCATCAACTACGAAAAAAACGAGCTGCACCCAAAGGCAGCATCCGCACAAACCTGCTGTCTGGACAGGACACCCTGAAAGCAACAAGCTTGACTGGACAAAACGCTCACTACTGCAGTGCCGTACACTCTCGTTTGACGGGGATAGCGTCGACTCGAGGTTGTGTTTGTCCTCACTAAACGTCGGTCTGGTGAGTATGTCCTCGGCTATGCCACGAAAACGTTAGTTTGTCGATGTAAACAGCAAGATAAATCGGTTAAAGTTTGTCCTGCGCATCAACGACGCAGGTGTTTTTTTTTTTTTTTACCCCAGGATGCTCCAGCGTTACACCCCATCCTGGGAGAAAAGGGAGGCGAGAAAGTTAGTCTTAAACCGTAAAACGAGGCATATTGTCTTCATTTATGAGCTGCTTGTGACGCTGAAGGACACACATGCGGTGGTCAAAGTCCAGTATCCGAGGCAGAGTATAGTCCCTGTCCCGGACCGGCAACGGTTAGCGTTATTGAAGGAAAGTGGAAAAAAATAACCACATTGACAGGAGGTGTCTGTTTAAACGACCATATTTAAACAGCAAATTTAATAACAGCATGACATTGGTAGGCCGGAGTGAGAATAATAAAACTGCATGTTTGCTTAAGCAACAAGATAAATTTGTGGGGACTTTTGTTTCGCAAATTAATATTTAAAGTATTTGGTACTGCAGCTGTCTTAATGTGAATGACCTCAATTATGAGTTATTGTGAAGTAGTTCTGTATAACATTTATTTATTTATATTTTTTTCAGTACTTCCATAATTTCCACACCAGTGTTGCTATAGAAGTTTGACTGTTCTGATCTAAGAAGTGTTGGAGTTATTATAATAGGTTTAAAGGGCTGGTTTACCCAAATTACAACAATAATAAAACAAAAACAGTTCCCTTACCTCTATTTCTATGGAGCTTGGTTTTTATGTGCCAAAGTCTGAAGATATCCATCTCAGAGGTTTCTGCTTTCACTCCATTACAATAGTAGTGAATGCAATTTGTGTGGGGTGCTCACAGTACTGAAAAATGACATCCGAAGGTCCAGTGTGTAACATTTAGGAGGATCTTTTGGTAGAAATGGAATATAATAGTATGTTTTCAATCGTGCAGGATCACCTCAATTTTGGAATCATTGTGTTTTCGTTAACTTGGAATGAGCCTTTTATATCTATACAGGTCGTTGCAGGTCGCCTTCCATGCAGTCTGCCATGTTGAACTGCCATGTTTCTGCAGTAGCCCAGAGGGGACAAAACAAACACCGGTTCTAGATAGGGGCATCCACTTTTTTCACGTTTCACAGCCACCGTCGTTTCTCCATTGCGCTTTGAAGGTGAGAGTGAAGCAAGGGAGTTGCAATCTGCAACTACACCGCTAGATACCCTCTAAATCCTGCACACTGGTCCTGGAAACAGGGCCCCAATACTCTATGGCCCCCCAATCAAAAATCCAATGAACATAGATGTTTAATGTGCCATGGCTGTTCTTGTTTGGTCCGATTCAACATGTTCAGTCCGTGTTTGATAAACTTTGCTCTGTTTGCCATGCTTTCAAACAGCAACACCCACAGTACGCATATAGTTCACATATCCATAGCAACGCAGCTTGCGCATGCCCGGTATTGGCGGTAAATGAGAGACGCAGTGCCTATAATTAGTATTTTAACGTCTTTATATTTTCCAACAACCTGTCGCCTGCTGCTCTGATGTGACTCATAAGGTTATAAAAACCGATCCGTCTTCATTTTCCGGCTCACAACAAAGATGAAAAGCTCACTTGTGTTCTCTTCTTAATAGCCGCTGCTCGCTCCAGATTTTCTTCCCACATTCCTTATGTGTTTGAAGACGTCTTGCCACTTTTAAACACAATAGTAGTCTCAATTACAGTAGATATCATCTTCAGGACAATATAATTGGAAGTCATTTTTCTTGAAGTTATCCATGGGTGGGGAAAGCTTTGTGGAAAGACATGACATTGCTGATTGTTTGTGAACGCAACAAATGAAGCTCCATTCACTTCCATTGTACCTGGGCGAAGGCTGATACAGTATCTCAAAACCGAAATGTTCTGCGTGGCCAGGTGCCATGGGAGATTTTTCTTTTGTAATTTGGATGAACCAACCCTTTTTAACAAAGGCACTCACTTTATGTACCATACTGAGGTTTAGGCCTAGTTAATTATTCCTGGTAATCCAACACTTTTCCTCCCAGACAAACAGGACGCGTTTCAGACTGTTGTTGACCAGGGAGTCGTCATCGTGTACGACTCCCTGGTCAACAAACACAAACCCTGCACTATTTCCTTTGGTGCTATCCGCTGAAGGATAATGTGTAGATCAATTTTATGGGTCTGAGTGCTTTCCACCTGTAGCCTTTTATTTACAGAACTGAAACTGTGCTCGACTCAGTTAATGATTCCGAGGTTTATGGCCCGTTCAGTGCTGTCAATAATTTGAAGATGCAGTTTGTGAAGAGAACAGGAGGAGGTGGTATTATGAACTTGGATGCTGCATCACTTAACAACTAGTAAGGGGTGCCCTCCATTGTAACAATTTAAAAGAAAACCATTTAAAGCATGCACACTGTAAATGCTGAAATGGGGAGTGGGTGTAGCTTTTGTTGTGACGTTCGATAGGCAGCTGAATCCCTTTGGCAAACACAATCACTGTGATTACTCTCGCACGTTTTAAGCAAAGCTGTCAAATGACAATAAGCTTAGCCTTGACATGAGTTTGCCTGACTGATTTGGAACTGCTTCAGTTACCTGTCAGTATTTGTGTTAGCTGCTCCTTTTCTTTCCTTTCCCTCAGATACACAGTGTGACATTTGGTTTGCAGCAGCTCTCCTTTTGCTTTATAGTTATAATGCAAGTTTGGTTATTGTTAAAGTCTTTTAAGTGTGGGTCTCAGCATTTTTGCCATTCAATTTTATATTTCCCATAATCCTCTTTTTTGCATTAAGAACAAATCTGCACTTTCAGAATTGAACTGGAGGAAGGACGATGTCGGCAGTTTATAAAGATGAACAGGAGGACTGGATGACGGTGTGTCTCAAGTACCTGCTCTTTGTTTTCAACTTTCTCTTCTGGGTAAGTGACAGCTGTAAATATAGTCCTTTTTTATAAGCTACCGACACTCAAAACCTCATTGGAAAAACCCTGACATTACACGTTGTCATTTATTTACTTGCAACGTGGTGCGTGAACAGCATTAAACTTTAAATTCAACTTTTTTTCACAGCAAATGCATTGCAGTAACACTGACAGGTCTCACAGTGACTGTAGGTATCCATAAGTCATGTTTTAAAAAAAGAGTAATTGGAGCCAATTTTCACTAGATATATTATATGTATATATAAATGGGGAATCTTTAGAAGGAATGCTTCAATGTTCCTTTTCAAACCGCAGGCTGAGAGACTTTAAAGGCACCACGTAGAAAGAAGGAGAGGTTTAAGGAGAGTTCTGATTTGGAAATGGTTGAGCTATGGACTCAGCCCAAAGTGAGTCATAGATTATTTAGGGCTTGTCAGTGTATGATGGGGAACAGTATGTCAGACCTGCTCTCTGGCACCACACTCTATGATACTGCAATTTGCTGCTAAAAGTGTACACTCTTACAGAGTGTGTAGAGTGTCTGGGGTCACTTTGAAACATTTTTTCAAAGTCTGAGGCGAAGAATATTGTGTGTGGGAGAGTTGAAAGAGAGAAAAGCTCAAGCTCTGTCCTCAGGCTTGGGTTAATGCTCTATCACCACCTTAAAACTAATCTCTTGAGGAAACGCATTGACTCCCTCTCATCCTTGGACTACAAGCACATTTTTCTTCTTTTTTTTGTGCACCACTTCACCATTATAACACACTGCAGTCTTGGGGGCAGTACATCTTTTGCAAGGACATTGCTGGCTTTTCTTCGGAAAACATTTAACTGGTAATCTTGCTAAATATCAAATCTATCCGCTTTGATACGGCTGCAGCAGATTTAAGTGATGATCTCGCCTACTTAAGGGATTTTATGGTATTTGTGTTCAATAAGTGATGTTGGATTTCAGATTTGATAAAATGATATTGAACCCATATACTGTCAGTGATTGAACCCCGAGCCTATCCAAAGCATGTCAGTTTAAGTAGCTGCCACCCACGGTTGGCGCACCAGTTTAAAATATATGTATATAATATATTAAAACATATGTGAATGCATTACAATAAAGTCCTAAATATGCAATAGTTTAGGAAGAGTCATCTTGCTCTGGGACCTGTGTGTATTCAAGCTGTGCCTCCCTGGTTCGACGTGTTGTTGTGAGTTTGTGGATCTCGCTTTTGAGGGAAATGGAACGGAAGGATGAAGGGGAGAGGCATTTCCTATCCATGCGCCTTTTGAAACTGATGAGAGGAACAGATCTGGACGCCACCCTGGATCTGTTATCCAGGATTGTTTGTAAGGAAGTGGTCATTATGCCCTGGCTTAACCTCTGAAGTCTCACTGCTCCAGTGGCTGGTACATGTTTACGCCTGGCCACTTCTCCCTGTTTCTCTTTGTGTTTCCTCTCTTTTCTTTCTGCCCTCTCTTACGTTCCTTTTCACCACCTCCCGCTGTCCACTCACGTTGTTATATTTTTGTGACTCATTTAATAGCATTGAACTCACTTCCTTTTTGTCACTTCCTGCCCTTTAAGTGCTATGTTGTTGTTGTTTTTTATCTTTTAGTTGTCTGTGGTTTCTGTAAGATTGAATTGACATGACACACTCAGTGTTTTCAAAATGTTTCCTTTCTTTGTTTAAGTAATCTGCAGCTTTCTCAGTTCTATGACTCATACATACCATGCTTTTATTGTCTTCGCATTTTTTTTTCCTCTGTGAAATTGTTTGCTACACCCATATCAGTTTTAACTCTTTTTTTAACCTTTAACCCTAATATCTTCCCTTCTATCTATCCCGCTTCTCTTCCAGGTGGGTGGAGCAGCTGTTTTGGGCGTGGGAGTCTGGACACTGGTGGAGAAGAGTGACTACTTGAGCCTGCTGGCATCCAGCACTTTTGCTGTCTCTGCGTATATCCTCATCCTGGCTGGCGGCCTGGTGGTGGTTACGGGCTTCTTGGGCTGCTGCGCTGTCATCCGGGAGCAGAGAAGCTGTCTGTCCACGGTGAGACAGGGGACCCATAGAGGGGATTTCTGCTCAGGCCTCTGCCTTTTGTGTTTGTGGTTGTTCAGATGTGGAGTAGATGGTATAGTATGTATGTGATAAAGTAAGTCTGTGCTTTACTGGTTTTGTACTAACAAGAAATAATGCAAAATGTGTGCCAATAGAGATCGATCAAACTGCAACTTTGGAACACCGCAATGTGGAAAAAGATTTTATATTTTTTTTCACCTTTTCCTTCTGTAAACAACTCCTCCATTTTCCAAATTGCATGGGGGGCATTTATTATGCATCCTGGAAGCTTTTAGTATTCTGAATGTTGTCACACACTGCATACTCAAAATGAATAGACTTTGCAGTTGTATCGGACTGGGATACAGGATAATGCAAAACAAACTACCACTCATGGACTGAAGGGGTCTCCAAAGTCGTACCTTTAAATTCAAGGCACGCATGGAGTGCAGGACATTGAAAGAAAACCTTGGTCAAACACTCGGGTGAAGAAAGGTTGGCGATTCCTCTTTGAAATACTGCACAGTCATACTGTCACGGAAGTTAGGACATTTGAATGACCATGTGGGCGACAGTACTACTTGTTAGTAATTGGTCCTAGATTGTCATGTCTGCACTGGGAAGCTACAGTAGATGCTCGCCCACGTGCACGCAATGATTTGCTTTCTCGGCACAACTACATAACAGCTATGCAACAATATAACATGTAACTCATCCATTCTCTCCCTGGTCTAAGGTCTATCACTGGATGCTGACAAATGGCTCTGACAGGACCCTTGCCGTCCTCATTATTTTACAGAGATAGGGCCCAGTGGGAGAGAAGCAGGCAGAAGGTGAACGTTCACTGCTGCAGGACTATTTATAGGTCTATCTATCTACTGCTGATGGATGGAGCAATAAGAAAGAGAAACGGGCTCGCAGGAGTGAAGAGGCAGCTGCATGGTGCATTTTGGTTGAATATGAACTGTACTGATGTGCTATTTATAGATTAGTTTTGGGAATGAAATAATGAGTGATGCTAGCAAGTAAGTTTGTGTGTGTAAAGGAGTGAAGTTAGCATTTTGTGTGGGCAGCAGGCACAGAGACTGAAGTGTCTTTTTTTTAATTCTTTTTTTTTTTTTTTTATCCTGTTACCAAGAGATACAGAGCAGGCTGGCATTTCTGCATGACATAATTACTGTGATGACTGCAAAACAGAAAAGAACATTCGCTTAATGTCATATAATAATTCAGTGAGATCGTTGCTCGCCATCCCATTGTTTCCCGCGTTGCACAGGATGGGTAGTAGCATCTGTCTCCATAATGATCTTGAGCGAAGCAGCGCTGTTGCTGCAGTCAAACTGTCGTGTCCCACTCTGCGACTGGCGGGCCTAATTAGTTGTATTTGTGTGTTGTTTGCACTACATGGCATGGCCCATGTTAGTGTGGGGTATATGAACCATTTAATGAACAGGCAAACGCTCACTACACAGTTTACATAACTATGCTGGGCATTTCGGTTCTAGTAACAGCACTTATCATTTAGGATTGCAAGAAGAGATCTGACATTTGTTTAGCTGCTGTGATATTGATTTTCAGTTTAAGTTAATTACACAAATGATTCATTATATTCCTTGTTTTCCTACAGTACAAATGAAGGATTTTGCTGCTGTGATGGTCAATGTGTATCACCTCAATTTAGTTTTTGCTAAAATGGTGTTTTGAAGTTAATTATGATACATAATGGAGCTGGTTTCAAGCATCGTGGAGAGTTCTTTAAAGGATGCCCAAGAGAAATCTGATTCCTGCAGCCTGCACCCTTTGTGCAGCATTGCCATCTGCGTTAGAAGTGACAGATGCAGCACAATGACATTTGATGGAAGTTTTTATTGAGCCGTCACGACTGTGAGCAAATCTCAAACGAGTTGCCTCAGAATACTTCTCTCACTGACTCTCTGTCTTCTTTCTCATCCACAGTATTTTTTCTGCCTGCTGTTGATCTTCTTGATTGAACTGGTGGCCGGAGTACTGGCTTATGTCTATTACCAGAGGGTAAGTTGAAACTACTACTTCATTATTTTGTTATAGTTTGGGGTAGTGAACAATGATCACTGCATTTAACTGAAGACCTTTTAGGGTTTGCTCACTCACATTTTCTGGTTTACTTACTGCCTGTCGGCCTTCTGCTATGCTCACAGTGCACTGGAAGAAAGTGAGGCTGTTCTGCCAATAGGTTAGGTTTTTAGGTTATGTTTTCGGTGTTGTTTGTTTGGCAGTAAGCAGGATTACAGAAAAACTACTGGCCTGATCTTCATGAAACTAGCTGGTTTGTTCAAGCTCCTGGAGGGACAAAACAGAATTTAAAGTATCTCTATATCATTTACCTGCTGTTAGAAAAACACCTAAAAGCAAAAGAAACCCCTTGAACAGTGTATTTTCTTCTTCATGAAAGTGTTAACGTGATTACAAGGGAATTATTGTCAAATTTGAAGATCTAAGCAATGTACCTCCTAATTAATCTATATAGATACCCCCTTTTCATAATTTCTCCCTCCATGAAAAGGTTTCCCATTTGGTCTTTGTTCTGTCTCATAGGTCGTGGATGATGATGAGTCACTGGAGAAACTAAAGTAGACGTTTTAGCTTTGCTTTTTGTTTTGCCGTTCTTCCTTTTCATGTGTATGTGGGTCGTCACCGTTTGCCACCTGCACTGCGCATTATGTTCAGCGTCTGGAGTTTATCACACACAGTTCTTAGGATCCTGTTATCTCACAAACATCTGCCTGTCAGTCAGCTAGGACTGCCAAGAGCAGCGCGCTATCTGCAGGCAAGCTTAGAGATTTATTATAATGGAAGGGTTCAGCGCAGGATAGAATCACTTTAAAGATAAGGCCTCTCATCTTCTCTCTCTGCTTCACATCGTCTTTCCTGTGTGTGTGTTTGCGTGTGTGCACACAAACATATACGCACATCAAAAGCTATATTTAAATTATAGACACTTTATATTTTTTGTATCACTTCACAATTCTCTCTCCATATAGTCTTTGCTCCTCTACATTTTTCCTCTTCCTGTATGTATTTTTGTTCTTTCCCATAAATACCACACTACCTTCTCCGTCTCACATACATTGTTTCTCACTGGTGTCTCTCGTCTTGTGTTTTAATTTCTAGCTGAGTGAGGAGCTGAAGCAGCATCTCAACCAGACTATGACGGAGAACTATGCCCAGCCAGGGAAGGAGGCCATCACATTAGCTGTGGACAGACTACAACAGGATGTATGGACTAGATTTACAAAAGCCTCTGAGGTCTTGTTTGGCTTACGTAAAATCAGTATGCTGCTCTTTTCTTCAGCTAGTCTGGTCATGTATAGTCGCGCTTGTTATAAAGTCATTTTCCATAACAGAGTCTTCAGCTACTGTGTGTGAAGTAGTTTTAAATGATGCTGAAATTCAGTAGAAGAAATTGCTCATAGCTGTGTGTTATCCATTGGGGTTTGCTTAAAGTATTGTTCCAAAAATGACTGGTGTAATAGCCAGAGCTAAAGTAATTTTGTCCAAGTCCCTGAGAGGAAGGAGATAGACACTCCCTTCAGCTACAAGAACCAGCTGCAAAGTTACAGCAGAATACTGATTTGAGGAAGTAGTTTGAGCCAATTAAATTAATCTGTGTTAAACTAAACAAAAAAGATGACTTAATTATTCCAAAAAAAAAGAGGGATTTGTACTTTTCTAACAGTGCCTGACGTAACGAAACCAAACTTTCCTTTTTTTTTTTTTTCCTTCTTCAGTTCAAGTGCTGTGGCAGCAACAACTCCCATGACTGGATGTTGAGTGTGTACATTTCATCAAAGCCGGCAGAAGGCAGGGTGGTGCCTGACAGCTGCTGTAAAACCATCACTCCTCACTGTGGGATAAGAGATCATCCCTCCAACATTTACAAGGTTGAGGTCAGTGGACTAAACATTTAGGAAATATAAATGATAGAAATGACAACTACCGTGCCCAGTCAAACTCAGATGTCACGTAGCATTTATGGAATTTACCATTGAATGACAAAAATAATCACTGGACATTGCTTGCCACCGTAAGACCGTATCACTAGAGTAATTTTGAGGTTTTCCCATGTCCTGATATTTCCCTTCTACAGCTAAACTAGTGACAGACACAGAAAAGACTGTAGTTTGAAACTTCTCCTCTTTGATAAAATGAGCTCTCTGGAAATGAATAAAATATGAGGTTTTGATATGCTCATCCGTGCTGCTTAGGTGAAGTTTTTCCGCCTCCTTGTCAAACCGCTCCGTTTCCCCTCTTATCGCTCACAGTACACTGCCTGCATCATGTGCAAAGGAGTAAACATAAAGATACACCAACAAACACAAACAAAAAAAACATAGGAACACCATGTCACATGCTATGGATGATGAATATATCCATTTAGTGTTTGGGATGGAAGGAAAATGTTGTTTTTGACATTATTATTTATCTATATTATCTACTACATTTATTATTAAGTGTTTTAGTTTTTTCTTGTTTGCTGCAGCAATTATATATGATGTCTTTACAATAGTATGCATTGTTTGTTTATGTCTTTTTTTTAACGTTCAGCCTATGATTCTGCAGGGTGGTTGCATTACGAAGCTGGAGCAGTTTCTGGCAGACCACCTGTTAGTCATTGGTGCTGTGGGAATAGGAGTGGCTTGTCTGCAGGTAAGTAAAATATGTAGTTCAAATAGTTGTTGAAGAAACAGAATGCTATTCTGCTTCGTCTTCATCCTGAGTAAACTACTCAGCCCAGTTATTAATTGGTTAAAGAGAGATGAGGCTTTAACCTTTCTGAATTAAATGGTGCTCTTTTGTTAAATACAACCTTAGGAAACCCAGATGGGTTTTACTCTCCCCATTACTGAAAATGTACCATCGCATGTAAACAACCTCTAAATGGACACTTCTTTTCATCTCACTCTAGTCTCTCAGTCATCATTATCTGATTTTGTTATTTTCTGTTATTTGATTTCTCCCAGTCTGAGATGGACTGGAGCTTTTAAGCCTTACAGAGCCCAAGCAGACATAACAGGGTTGCCTTTTTACAATTCTGTGCTGGATGACAGTCCTCTTATAGCTCTGCACCACCTCTTTGTAAATTAACTTGAGGGAAACTTGAGACCAAACAAACCTGCATTGATTCTTCCCAGTGGTATTTGCAAGCCTGATATGTCCTTTAATGGCCAGCAGTTTACATGCTGTTCAGGCTCAACAGTTTTCATCAGGCAGGGAACTGAGAATAAGGCCAGACAACCTGCTGCTGCTGACCTAAGGCCGGAAGTTCTGTACTGTAAAAGATGAGAAATCTCCAGTCTGTGATCTCCTTGATGCCTGAGGAAGTGACAGGTTTTTTAATCCCCAAATGATCTGAAGGGATTATACTTAACATATAGATGAGGTGCTGCTGAATATATATAGATATATTCCTGGAGAAAAGGATTTAAAATCCAATGTGCTACCTGAGCCTGTTCAGCATTATTTAACACATTTAAATCCAAGCATATATTTAATTTCTTTTTGTACTCTAGGCTAACTGTATGTCTTGTCTTTGTCAGCTGTTCCAGTCTGTCTTAATGTTGCTATATTTTCCTGTCTGTAGTCACTGTCTGTCTGACTGAAATCAGTAGATTTGTTGAAATGCATTTTAACTCAGACTAGCTCTAGTTTTCATCTTTAATTTATGGCACAAACTACATGTGTCTATTGTACCACACTAACCTGTCTATGGTGAATTGTACTGTGTGTCTCAATGTGTGTTTGTGTGTGTGTGTGTGGTGTAGCTGGCCGGGGCAGTCTTGACAGCCTGCTTTATCTATCTGCTCTATAAAGAAGAAGAGGACTTCGGTACATTGTGATTTAGCTCTAGACCGGCTTTGTGGTTTAATCAACTGGAGAGACAAGGTTGGAGGGCATTGTGGAAATTTGATATCTGACTGCATGTTTGTCCTTGTGTGACTGTCCGCTCTGTGTTAAATGTGAAATCTGTGGGCTACATGTGTACTAAATGAACATATTTATGTTCTTAAGCATGCAGCTGCCTGGCTTTGGCTGTATATTGCAGATGGCTGCTCTGCTTGTTGTGATAACGGGCTGTTGTGGCTGATAAGGATGTGACAAAAGTCAAACACATCATGAGAATGGCTCATTTAATCAAAACTTAACAGCTTCTGCACAATTATGTTTTTAGCAAGAGTAACGCTCTGTAGCTTTATGTATTAGTGCCTTATTTTATACCTGTGCTGACAAGACAGGGAGAAACACCTACAGTAAAATTTACATTATAGACCAAGGTTTTGCTGTATATCCCTGAGGGCAGCTTATTTTAAATTCAAGCCTTATTATCAGGCTTCACTTTATTTTTGGAGTAAGATGGTAACCACTGGGGACAGATTGGATAATCATTTTGTAGATAATTCTATTTTATTTACTTACTTTACATTTACTTTGATGGATTACTGAAATTGGCAAAAGAGGTAATGCACTGTACACTTTTTGTGTGTGTTCTTTTTTTGATTCAGACACCTCCTAGTACATAATTATTCGGGAGAGCATTAGTGTTGTTGCTATAGTTACTTGCAATCTTAAATAAACATGATCATAATAATTGAGCTTGTTGAAAAGTGATTCAAGGACTAGTGATTGACAGGAACTGCCAACTGGTATTATTTTTTTCTTTTTTCATTTTTTGTTACACTGTTACATCCTTGCTTTTTTATATCAATACACCCTTCTCAAATTAGGCTTCAAGGAAACAGGAGCGCAGAGTGGCTGTTTTTCTCTCTTTTCCTCTCATGCCATTGTTTTTGAACCAGAATGTTATGTATCCATCACTGGTGGTGGTGGAGAAGGGAAAAAAAATTGGAAACTTGCCTGAAGAGAGATTGCGATGAATCAATATGCAATGCTGACTCGCTCGATAAGGCTTTCTCTGAGGGCTTTTAGAGACTCAAAGATTGAATCTGGGTCCTTGTCTGTTTATCCATCAAGCCTGGCATGCCCATTGGCTTAGGTCAATATCTGTTCTCGCGGTTCTCTCTTTATTTTTGGGCCTTTTCTATAGTGGTGTATAGCATAGTGCTTCTGTAAATCATGTGTTATAGATTCTGCACACGTCTATGAGCTTATCCTGGTGCGAGGTGAGAGGTTGCAGTATCAGATATTGTGTCTTCATAAATGTAAAACCCTCCAGATTAATTTTAAACAGCATAACAGTCTATTGTTATTGGAATATCATTTAGGTGTTAAACCTGATTCTTTAGGTTTTTCCCCTTATTACACAAACACTAGCTTTAGCATTCAGTTGCATGGCGGGAAATGAGTCCAACAGTTAAGCTTTTTCTGGGTTGAAACCATGTTTGTCAGGGACATTGCAAGTGGAGTCTAATTGATGTGGTTTTATTTGTGAAATTGGTAACATACAACATGATAGTCTGATAAGAACTTCTGAACATTAGCATTAAGGCTGAAGACGCACTAGTCATGTTTTGTGTTACCAGGTTATTTGGAGTTAAGTTTATTAAGTTTTTTTGTTTGCTGTGAAGAAAACGGACTACTTAGATGAAAACTCGTGCATAAATCCTCTTTTTGACCCCAGTGCTTTATTTTGCATCTGCTTATGCAAGCCTGTGCACACACGTCGCTGCAATAAGGGCTGCTTGACCCCTGACATCCCCATAGTAACCAGCTACATACATTAACCCTCTAACCCATCACCTTAAACTCATCTTTGTCCTCAGAGTCAATAGCATTCCGGCTTCCTGCAGTCTTCCATGGTGACTGAGCAGTGCTTTTTGACCTAACACGTCCTGTTTTCAGATCTGCGGGATGGTGTTCACCAGCTGCTTGTACAGAAGGATCAAGATGGAACCTTACTGAGCACGCCCGGTCCTCAACACCCCACCTTCAACAGGCAGATGGAACAATGACCTTCTGACACCTAAACTTCGACCTCTGAATCTTGAACTTTTACCTTGTGATCTAAGCCAAGACACTTTTGCAGGCAGAAACAAATTGTACAATTGACCAACCGGGCTGATTTTTGGTTCCTCTTCTACAGTATTACACTTACATTACAATATACTTCAATACAAGCTTTTACATTTCTGATATCTGACTGTGATCTACTGGAACAAAATGCCAGTCTGCATTTGTCTATTTGCCTTGGCTTAGATGCATGCTTTAGTTTGAGCAGGACAAAAGAAAGGGGGCATACATACTCATAACGCATCCTGCTCTGTTCAACTAATGATTATCCAAATTGATCTGTCTTGTTCACTGTGCATTTATATGTTAGTGTTTTTTGACCATTCCAGTACTTGAGTAAGCTGAGCAAGGGCATGGCGTACACATGGTGTTGTCACTGTTAATGAAGAAAGGTAATTTATTGTTGTATCTTTTTTGAACACAATGTGCCTCTTTCACAATTCTGCTAAATGATTATCAATTATGTGCCTGAAATCTTTAAAAGGGAGCTGACAATGCACTGTGACAAAGGGCAGCAAATGAAATCTAGTTTACTATATTTATATTTGTAGTTATGTCTATATTTCTGTATAGCAGCACTGAATGTTGCACTGTGTGATAGTTATTTAAATGAACTGAACCTCAATGGTAACACTCAAGTGTATGGCTACAAACTTTAAGATGTTCCTAGACCGTCTAATAAGTAAAGGAAGAAGAGTCATTTTCTCTAGTGGTTGCCAGATCCCTGAATGTATGACTCCACCTAGTGGTTGGCACTGGTCACATACAATACTGTGTGTAACTATATGCTGCACTTGATTCTGATAGTAGGAAATTCAGAATTTCACAATCCAACAAAATCTGTTGTTTATCTCATTATGTGACCCTAAAGATACATATACATCAGATAGCAGATTGCAATATTAACACACATTACCTTCTCTGAATTTTAGATTTGTTTCCATACTTTCCTAGACAATGAGGATTCATTCTCTACAGTGGAGAAGTTGACTCTAAGCGCCAAAGAAATCGAGGATTTTGTTGTTTTCACTGTCTAATCCATCACTTGTCATCCCTTTTCCCATAGCTATTACATAAGGAACAATGAGTGGCCTTGTTGCCACTATAGATGTGGTAAGTCTGGCTCAGCTATTGTTGATTGATAAGTAAGCGCAATACATCAACCTCTGGATCCTTAACCATACACACCATTGCCAAGACCCAGCACTCTGTAAAGGGATCTCTTAGGATTTGTGTTTTGTTTTTTTTTCCCCCACCCAACTGACTTAGAAATGAAGGGTGCTAATGTGGTTGTTGATGAGATAATGATATAACATTGGCATGTGCTCTACTACTGACTGTGCTATTTAAAACATTGATATGAAACTCATAAATAAATGTTTAAATGGTGTTGCATTAAGAAAATTGCATTGTGGTAATGAAATACAAATATTTAAGAGTCGTTTTAGACAGGCAGCTATGATGCCATGATTGCTGTTTGGCAGTGCTCTAGTTGATGAGATTATCATGGGGGCGAAGTCAGTTTATTTATTTAAGGCCAGAGAACCAGTTTGTGCCAGAGGGCTTTAAAATCTGTTTATAGATGTATCTGACATTTCTATATAAACCCATATTTGTGGGTTATGGCAGCTGCTAGTAGGAAACCACTAGAGGGAGACAAAGACTTGCCTTTTGCAGTGGTACATGGTTGAAATCCAGTTAATGGCAAAATGGCATTCCCTAACATCAGAGGATACCTATTATCTTGTAGTGTCATGTTTGTAAAGATTACATTTTGGCACATTTAATCTGTTCAGGGCCTCACAGAGACCATGTTTGATATAATCTGTAGGAGTCTTCTTGTGTTATGACCTGTGAGAGCCGAACACACTCTGTTACTTACTGCAGCAGCAAGCAAGCAGTGCTAAAAAGCTAAAAACGATTTACTTGTCTATTTTCCATAAACAGTGCTTTCTGATTACACTCACGTCAAATCCAGTTTACTCTCCAAAATGATCCTAACTATTCTCAGCCTCTGTTTACAGCCACAATTTCATGTAAATCTTTTTTTTTTTTTAACCTGTCTCTTTGTATTTACTCAATACACAAAAAGCACTGTCAGAGTCCTGCCCGATAATGTAAGCTGGAGTGAGATCTCAGGTTGAGATTGCTTATCATCATCATCATGGAGAGTGTGGGCTTCAGTAAGAGAACATTGTGAAAGCACTTTGTTCACGTGGAGTCTCCCACAATTCCACATGGGAAAGTCTTGTAGGGTCCCAATGTTCGAACCACATTTATTCATGAATGCAAAGCGCTAGTGCAGTTTTGTGTGGTTTTAGGGCCTTGTTTAGGCAAATTCTGCATACATCAAATGCTATGCCATGCACATAGATTGGGCATTATTGTTTGTGCTATATTGTTGCCATATGACCCAACTATTTGCCTTTGAAGCTTGACTTTTTCCTTTTTCTTTGTTTCCCCATAGCTCCAGATAACTTAGACACTATGTTGGTTCAGAGCGATCTATCATTGTCACCCATTTAGGAAAAGGGGAACAAAGTTTTAAAAGAGTTTGGATGTTCTCCAACATTTTGGCTTCATCAAGCCTATAGAGTCTGTCAGTCCCTTTGTCTTCATCAGCTATAGGAGGATGGCTCTCATTTCCTGCAGATGTCACACGAAACCATGATGCAGGAAAAAGGACACACTGATACTGACAAGATAGAAACACACACACACACACACGCACAACTCAGAGGTTGCACACATTAGCATGCGGTTAACACCATTTGCCAGAAGAAACCCATGAGAGAGAATTAGGAGCAGCTGGAGATTCAGTACTCCCATGTGTCGAGGCCTCTTTGGCGCACACACACGCACACACAACTTACACCCTCCATCCTCATCACATTGTAGCCGTAGGGGTGATATTTCAGTGGGACAGCACAAGAAGTTACCAAAGAACACATGTTGCAATGTCATTTATCTGTCAACTGCAAACGTGTGTTCGCATGCGCAGAGATAAGGTATAATACACACGAATACCTGCAGATTTACGTGTAGGATTACACAAAGCATTCTAGAAATGAGCAAAAACAAAATGTACTGAAGCCATCTCTGAATTCTAGATGAATGCGTTTACTTCTATAATGTTCTGTATATGTCCCCTTGCATGTCAGTGTGCTATCACACACTTGAGTTATGGGTTTTCTGTGTCAATAAGGCATTTGTTGAGCTCTCGTAAAGCAGATTCTGGCATAACACGGGCTATTGTCTCAGTAAGCGCACCTGTGTTTAATATGTGCAGAAACAGTTGGGGTGATCGAATAGTGCGGCGCCTTTTGCATAATAGATGTGTGGGAAAGGACTTCTGTAACGCATTTTGTGCTGAATGTAACAAGCCTGAAGGTGTACACGTGTGGTTAGGGATTCATTGTGTTAGCATGGTTCTTGAAACCGCCTCTGTCTACATGTCTGCATTCAGATCAGGGACACAATAAGTGTCTTGTCCTGAACTGAAACTAGAATTACATCAGTGTCTCAAGGATTGTGCCTTTGTCTGGGCATTGCAGCTGACTAGACCTGCTTGCATGTAAACACTTAGAGGAGATGGACTTTGAAGTTAAGTCTATACAAATTACAAGTGCTGCTACAAAGGTGGGTCAAATTAGCTTGAACGTCATTTAGCATATTAAAGGGGTCTGAAAATGGACTTCAAAGCAACATGACAATCAACCATGGTCTCAAGGAGGCTACATTTTGTACACAAACTTTAGGTGTGTTAGAAAAAAAAAATCAAATACTATAACAGAGTGTACCTGTCCATTTTTTCCAGTGTTTAACCTCTCACCATCTTGTACCTGCAGCATAATAACTACATTTTGTGACTTATTCTCAATTTATAATATGAATTTTAGCAACTCAAGTCCAGGCCCTGGTTCGGTCCAAAACAGGATAAGTTCTTTATCAGAACTGGTTTTGTAAATCTACGATTACCTTCATACTCTGACTCACCTCTCAACAAATTTGCGTCTGGCCTGCAACACATTATCTCTGGCCATAAATGTGTTTGACAGATTTCTACAGGGATCAAAGGCGTAGGGAAGGAGATGGCGTGTGTAGATAACTTCAGCACTGGACGTCAAGGCTTAGGAGCCTGAAGACCAGCACGCCAACATAAATCGGAACCTAATATCTGTCCTGATTTAATAAAAAATTTATTGTGGTATTATTTGGCATTTAGAAAAGAGTGTAGGTACCAACATGGACAAACAGTACTTTCAGGCATCAGTATTATTCCATATTTTGTTCATTCTTATCCACCTCTTTGAATATCCTTATGTTATTTATGATATTTTGTGATTCTTCCAGTTGTAAATCCCAGATAAATCTCCCTGGAAATACAAAGTAAACACTTCTTTTCCTGAAGAAGTTAGGGTTTCCGTAGTTGATTTCTTCCTATGTGTGTCTTTGTATTGGTTTCAGGAAAACTTTAAATCCTAAAGCAGTGGTTCTGGACTTTATTTTTCTTTTTTTATCTGTGCATCTGTGAGTTGCTGGATAATTTTACATCTTGAGGTCCAGTTAAAACAATTTTAATCTTTGATTGAAATGGCCACCATGCACAAACATAACGCCATCTGTGACTAGCAGCCGCAAGTAGACAATGCTTCATTTTAGGGGGTCACAAGCCGAAAAAGGTTGGAAACCACTGGCTTAAAGCAGAACGCTTTGGCCTGCGTTTCCCTTGAATGACAGATTTGCTCTGCTGTTACACTAAGTTATTGAATGCCAGCTGCTCAACTCACCTCAGCCTTACCTGGGTTCCGCCATGGAACTAATTACAGGTGAACACAATCAAGGCGGGGCAAACAATCAAAATCAGCAGGAAACACAGAAGGGCAGGGAAGTGAAATAGAACAATACTACTGGGTTAAACTACAAAATAATACAAGAAAAAAAAAAAAAAAACCAAAACCATAACCGGAAGACATAGCAGCTTTAGGTTTTATGGTCCGTGTCCGTGTCCAATGTCAGTCTGTTGGTCGGTTGGACAACCCCTTTGGACCAGACTGAAGTATCTCAACAACTATTGGATGGATTTCCATAAGATTTTGCACAAACTTGTATGTTCCCCTCTTGTTGGAGCCTGCTGACTTTGGTTAACATCTAGCACCATTATAATGTAAAATGTTTAATTTGTCCTGCCAAACTAATAAGATTCTTGTCAGCCTCAGCTGTATCACGTTTAGTGCTAATTCAGTAGCAAATGTTAGCATGCTAAGACTAAAGTATGATGGTGAACACAGTATTTTGATAAAACTGAATCTCAAACATGAAGTTGCAGAGTTTAAACAGAAGTATAACATGTCACCTAGTGATTTGAAGTGAGGGCTATGAGTGCATACCCCACACTCCTAAATGTTTCTCACTCGCTTCCCAGTACCCCCACAGTTGAGAAAGCTGTGGTTTCTGAGGTATGCATGTGTGTGTGTTTCACAGTGTGTGTGTGGGAGGGTCTTTGTCCATGGGAGAATGAGTTTAGATGGAAACAAACTTCAGAAAGTGTTTCAAGACAGCATTTCAAAAGCCTGCTGTCTGATAATGATGATGAGCGTCATGTTGATGAGGGTGTTGATTGATACCAAACAGATGGTGGGGTGCTCGCAAGGTTACACCAACCACATTATGATGTATTGCACTTCCAGCACAGGTACCATAATGGTACCTGGTGAAACAGTGATAAAGCAGGAATTTGTATAGAAACGGAAAATGTGGGACCAGACCAGACCAGTGAGATTGAGTCCGGGGTCCGTGACCAAAACTTCCTGCGAAATATCATAAAATCAAGAGTGATCTCCTATTGTGTACTTGACCAGCATCAACTACTGTGATAAATACTGACAGTTAAATTATCGTGCTTACATAATCTAGGTTTGTGTATCAGTGTGTTTGTGTAAAACCCATTCTTTGTACTGGATAGATTGTGATTTGTGGTATGTGATCAGATTTGCTTACATTACGGTTGTGCTTGTTTCCCAGCGTGAGTCAAGGAGAAGTGTCTGTCGGGTCAAAAAGAATGTGTTTCAAAGTGATGGATGTGGTGTTGCTTATATGTGGTGAAGTGGGCCAACAAGGCTATGGAGTTTCATGCTTCAAATATGTCAGGAGTGCTGGACTTTAACATGGCTCCGTTGGCATTTACTGATGCTGTTGTTACACTGTAATTTATATGGGCTGACTGAGTGGTGTTTCTGTTTAAGGCGACGGTTGGAGTCTGTAAACTTTTACAAGCTGGCTATAGTCTGTCTCTACACCCTATGGATTGTTCTGCGAGTTGGTTAGCATGCACAAAGAAAAACTACATACTCAGCTTTGTAGTGGTTTGTGTATAAAAAAAACCTCTTAAAAAGGAAAAGCTG